TGATCTCACTTATATGTGGAATCTAAAAAAACTAGCTCATGGATACAGAGAACAGATTGGTGGTTGCCAGAGGTGTAGGGTGGGAGGTGGGTGAAATGGGTGAACGAGGTCAAAAGGTACAAATTTCCAGTTATAAAATAAATGTCCTGGGGAGGTAATGTACGGCATGGTGACTATAGTTAATGATACCGTATTGCATGTTTGAAAGTTGCTAAGAGAGTAAATCTTAAAATTCCTCACCTCAAGAAAAAAAAATTTGTAACTATGCATGGTGACAGATTTTAACTAGACTTACTGTGGTGATTATTTCACAAAAAAAAATAATCTGAAAAAAGACCTCCTCAAAACTCAACAGTAAATAAACAATTCAATTAAAAAATAGCAAAGACTTGAACACACAATTCACCAAAGAGGGCATATGGATGACAAATAAGCACATGAAAAGTTGTTAAACATCATTAGTCATTAGCAAAATGCAAACTGAAACCACAATGAGATATCTGAGATAACACTACACACTGGTTAGAACAGCTAAAATAGAAAATAGTGACCATATCAAATGTTGACAAGAGAGCGGGGATGCTGGCCCTCTCAGATACTTCTGGGGGGATGTAGAATGGTGCAGCCACCCTGGAAAATAGTTTTGCAGTTTCTCATAAAACGAAACATGTGCTTATCATTGGGTGTGGCAATTGACCTCCTCAGCATTTATCCCAGAAAAATAAAAACATGTCCACACAAAAACCTGCACACAAATGTTCATAGCAGCTTTATCTGTAACAACCAAAACCTGGAAACAACCCAAATGTCCTTTGAAGACTGAATGGTTAAACTGTGGTACATCCATACAATGGAATACTATTCAGCAATAAAAAGGAATGGACAGTTGCTTGGATCCACTTGATTGGATCACACAAATTTTATGCTGAATGAAAAAAGCCAATCTTGGAAGATTACATTACATACTGTATGACTCCACTTATATAACACTAAGGAAATGACGGAATTACAGAGATGGAGAAAAAACAGTGGTTTCCAGGGAACAGGAATAGGCAGGGTATGCAGCAAGATGTGACTATATAGAGGCAGGGTGAGAGAGTTACTCTGTGGGGATAGAATTGTTCAGAATTTGCTTGTGGTTACACAAATCTATACATGGAATAAAACTGCATAGACTTATATACACACACATACACACACAAATGAGTACAGGTAAAAACTGGTGCTATCTCCTAAACTGGTCTGTGGTCTAGTTAACAGTACAGTGTCAGTCTCCTGGCTTTGATATCATACTATAGTTATGTAAGATGTTCCTATTGGGAGAAGATGGGAGAAGGGTACTAGGGGTCTGTATGATTTTTGCAACTTTCTGTGGGTCTATAATTATTTGAAACAAAAAGTTAAATTTTTTCTGAAAAAAAACCTAGAAGATAATTGCTAGATAATCAAGAATCTATAAAATATGCCAAGATCCTAGAAGTAAAGGATAACCTCATGAAGAAGTGACACCTTCTCCAGGACTTCAGCGAAGAGCTTGCTCTTCACGTAAGCTGCATCAGCTCCTGCTGAAGCTGCAGACAGCAATGCCCTCTCTGAGCTGGTCCCAAGTCTTCCTACTGGAAGTAGGAACTTTCCACCTACCAATCCTAGTATTGGTAGGAGTCATGGAGAATAAGCCTTCGGAGGCTAGGAGAGGGGAGAGGCAAGACCTGGAGATGTGTGGATGGGGATGTAGCTGCGTAAGTGTGTGTGCATGTGTGTGCAAGTGTGTGTGTGTACGTGTGTGTGCACGAATGTGTGGGGGGTACAGAGGAAGGAGTTGCTGAGAAGGGAATCACCAGTTACCTACTTTCCCCAGAGTTGGCTCCAGGTAGATAATGGTGTTACTTAGACTTATCTAAGATTCCAATTTCAGTCTCTTGAGGCTAACTTAGTTTTGTTCCAAAGTTACGGGATGTTGTCTCACTCCACTGGTCTCAAAAGGGCCTGGGAATTGAGTTAGAGTGGATCTGTACTGGTCCTTTTATAACCTACAGTACAGAATTGTGATCTACTGTCACAGGGAAACATTCCTGGTGAGATGGAATAGTGGGCTTCAGAGTCAGACAGGACTGGACTTGAATTCTGGTCTCAGCACTCACTAGGTGTGAGACCAGGAGCACGTGATTTAACTTCCCTGGGCCAGAGCATCATAATAGTTAAAATCATAGCTCATTTTTCTTCAGCACTTTCTATGTGTCAGGAATGTGCAAAGCACTCACCTACCTCAGAAGTTTCTTGAACAATTAAATGAGCTTATGAATCTTAAATTGCCTGGCAGAATACCTATAACAAGAAGGCAATTGATAAACTCTGCACTTAAATATTATTCCTATTATCATAGGAATTATCCAATTATTATAGTAACCAAGAGGAAAAAGGAATCATACTCTTAAAATGGCACAGGAATCTCTGAAAATAGCACCAAATGCTGATTTTCAAATAAGTCAGACTAGTTCTGATATGTGATTTCTAGTCATTAAGTGTGCTCTGCACTGAACATTACTCTTGATCCCTGAAAATTTCAGTACAAAGAATCCATGTGTTTGCTGGCACATATCTTGAAGTTAGATTTCTCCTTAAGACACTCAAAAGATTAAGTGCTCCCCTTAGCGTGAGCAACTTAGAAAACACAGAGCTATTTCCTTTCCTCTAACTATGCAATGATGCATCAGCCAAAGTAAACACAAAGGTTAGGTAAAAATGCAAGGAAAATCAGTGAAATGTAGACTTGAAATAAGTTAAATTTCTTAAGTAAGGGTTTGACTGAATTGTGAAGCAAAATGCCAGATAACATCTGACTTGGATGTGTAATCTATGACGTAAGAGAAGGGCTGATTTGGAGGAATTTTGTAACAGATAGCTGTTAAATTAGGACTTTAATCCTTTTAAGCAGACTTTGTAAAAATAAATCCAGGGTAGGCTGACTTCTGCATCACGTTTTTTCCTTGCTTTTAGCCTGGGGTGTCTGCCTTCAGACATTAAGAATGGTATTGTGGTGGTGAGGGTGATGGTTATGGTGATGGTGGTGGTAGTGGTATTGATGGTGGTGGTGGTGGTGGTGGTGATCATGATAGTGGTGATAGTGGTGGTGAGGGTGGTAGTGGTGTTAGTGGTGGTGGTGGTAATGGTGATGATAGTGGTGATGGTGATGGTGGTAATGGTGGTGGTGATGATGTTAGTGGTGGTGGTGGTGGTGATGGTAATGGTGATGCGGGTGGTAATGGTGGTGTTGGTGATGATGAAGATAGTGGTGGTGGTGGTAATGATGGTGGTGTGTGTATGTGTATTATCACCAGCACCTTAGAGTGAGACAAATGACATGCCCAACCCTCATTACAAAGGACTCCAATAGACAACTACAAAAGTAAAATACCAAGTTAAATAGACAAAATTCAGAGACTTCAAGCAGATTTTCCCACCCAAATGTTCTATCTTTTCCCTACCTCTTCCATCTTCTTCTTTCTTGGAGCTCAATGAAATCTTTGGATTTCCAAGTTTAATTTTGCATTTTATTTTTATGAAACCTGGCATATGTTTTCAAAGGCCATTTTTGGCCACATTAATTTGAGTTGGACCATTTCTCCATCTGGAGAGAAGTAAGATAAATGGGTGATCACATGAGGGCCCCCATTTTCCACTTTACCCTGTGTCACTTTACCCCATGGAGGCACAGACGTGGTCATTTGGGAGAACATTTGAAATCAAACACATCTGCTTGAATTTATTTTGAACATAGAGGTTCCAAGCCCTCAGTAAAATAGAAAAACTATTTTGTGTGGTTTTCAAAGCAAGTAAAATGGCCCAAATCCCTATGTTTCTTAATCCCCAGCACAACCACTAGGTTCGTCAATCTTCCATGTGAGTCTTTTTTCAAATCAGTTACTTCCATGATTTGGTCTCATTAATCTTCTTCCTCAGCTTTTCCTTCAGGGTAGTTGTCGAGTCTCAAATCTCTGGATATACCTCAAGTCTCTGCTCCCAACTAAATCTATTGGCAAGTACATGCCTCCCAATTTGTTTTTTAAGCTACATTTTAGACCCTTAGGCCCAAAGAGAAAACACCTGGAAAGCAGACATGTCTTAGAAATTCACGGAACAGCTCAAAAAATAATTCAAATGAGCTTCATTCCTGAATAGAAGTTTTTATTAACCAATGTTAATTCTCAAAAAATACATTCTAACAGTCCAGAGTGCAAGTACATTGAGATTTACATACCAACAGCTTAAAAGAAACTCTGAACTAGAAATGCTTTTACCTCTCCACTTTTAAGAAAGACAAAAAAAAAAAAAATCAGAAGAAATTAGCTAATGTTGGGGATTATGTGACAGGAATTAGCAAAAAAAAAAAAGAAATACCCTTCCAGGGAATTTTCTAGAATCCATACAAGATAAACCCAATCTCCTGTACCTTCTACTACTCTATTAACAGGGTTTTAAAAAGAAAACTACTGCTCAGAACAAGAATCACGAAGGTATCACAAAATTGTCAACCATGAAAATAGAAGTCTATTGCTATGTAGCAAACTAACCCTCATTCATTCATTCAGTGCATGACTTTTTAACGGCTGCTATATTCCAGGCAAAGGGCTAGGTGTTCAGGACAGAGAGCCCTTTCTCTGTGAGGCTGGCTCCTGAACATTGCTGGGCTCTCATCTGCCCTGAAGTCTAGTCCTGAGCTGCTTACTGGACAGCTCTATCTGGTACCACAAACTCAGCCTGTGTTAAGCTAAAATCATTACCTCCTAAGTATGCCCCTCTTTTTTGTCTTGCAGGTAACAGAAATGAACTAAAAGTAGATAGAGAAAAAAGAGATATAGAGGGAACCTTGTAGAACCCAAGGACAAGACATGTAGTCAAGCCCCATGAAGGACGAGAACCAGGAAGTGGAAAGCACCTAAAACCAGGGCAGTCCTTCTGCCCTTCTCCATTGCTCCATTTTACTCTCTGGCGTCTCATAGTTCTTTTGTCCCTGCCTGTCTTCATTTCTCTCTGTGTCTCTCTTTCAGACTCTTTGTCTCTCTCTCTCTCTGACTCTCTTGTCTCTCCGTGTGTCTTTTTCTCTGTCTCTGTCTCTGTCTCTTTCTCTCTCTGCCATCTTTCTCTGTTTTTCAATGCATAGGGCAAAAGATGGCTGCTCCTCTGTTCCCAAAATTTTGTGTTCTCCCAGTTCAAGTCCTAATTGAATCTGTTTAGTGACTCCAGTTCCAATTTCAAATTCTTAGGAGAGAAAATCAAACTGATATAGTTCAGCCATGAAGCTAAATATATACATATATATCTCCTATTGCACCATTTCCTTGACCCCATAGGCATACACAGTATAGTGATTGGAACACTTACAAGATGTATGAACTTGATCAAGTCACTTACCTCTCTGTGTCTTGCTTCCTTTGTCTATAAAATAGGTATAGTAACAGTACGTATCACATAGAGTTCCTGTGATGATTAAATGAGATAATAGAGATAAGAAATTTATCACAGTCTAGGCACAGAATATGCCCCAATAAAATTTTATCTGTTACTACTATACTAAGTTTACTCTGAGTCAATTGTTTGTCAGTTACCTGGACACATTTTCCCAAGGAAACATTATATATAGTTGTTGGGTTCCCATTATACCCAGTCAGAGCTTTGAAATTCAACTGCCCCAGATCCCACCAGCCCATTAAAAATGATGCTTCATTCACATCAATATTTTATCTAGCTCAGCTTCCCATCTGTGTAATTGCCCAATGTTATAGCCCCAACACATTCTCTTTAAGTTCTCCTCTAGTTTATTTTTCAGGAAGTTTCCAGATATCTCAAATGTACTCACCAATGTCCCTCTCATGCTTGTCTGCTCAAGTTCCTGATTTGATAGCTACACACTGTAAATCCATTTGTGGCCTGAGAAAGTACCTTGTCATTACACTGCTGTGGGTGCCCTCATGAAGAACACTTCTGCCTTGTCAAGGATGACATGTCTCTATGTCCCTTAATTACCAATGTTTTCCCCAGCCCAGGTGCAAAATGGCTCTGATATCCCTTCAATGTTTACTGCTTTGGAGCTATACAGGTTTTCACACATACATGGATAGAATACACATAATGATTATGGTATAGGCTTTAGAATAAGATTGTCTAGTTAGCTTCCTTTCCATCATTGATTAGCTGTGTGACTGTTGGTAAGTTACTTAATCTCCTTGAGCTTCAGTGTCTTCCTCTGCAAGATAGTACTGATCCTAATAGAGATGTGGTAAAGATTAAATAAGATAATAAATTTAAAGTCTTGAAGATTTCCAGCTTCTAGAAATGGCAAAGTAGTTTATAGCAGACTAACCTTCCTGCCAGCATCATTTAAAAACTTTGAACAACTATTTGGAGGCACTAATGAGCAAACAAAGGAGGCAGAAACTGGAGAAGATTCAACTCTTGAAAGACAAGAACCATACAGAGTGTGATCCACATTTATCCAATTTTTTCCCTTTGGGCACTCCTTCACAGTCCACATGGGGAACAGAGCTCAAGCAAAAGCAGCAGTTTTATTGGGCTAAAAATCCAGAGGTCATAGTTTTGGACTGCCACAATGACTAGAAATCAAGGGGAAGAGAAATCCCATAAAGGAGGGAATAACATAGGGGATTAATTGTCTGCCAGAATAAAACTCAAAATTTTTCAGGGGGATATACCACAACCTAGAATTTCTATCCTATATCATTTCACAGTGTCAAATATACAATAAAAATTACTAGACATGAAAAGAAACAGGAAAACATGACCCATAGTCAGGGGAAAAAGCAGCCAACAGAGCAGATTCACAAATGACCTAAAGTAGCAAATAATAGATATATTAAGGAATTTTCAGGAAAAATGGATATACAGATGAAGAGTTAGAGATTTTAGGAGAGAAATAGAAATTCTAAAAAATAAATAAACAAATAAATCTCTTAAGAACTGAAAATTAAATATCTGAAAATTTTTAAAAATCAGCACAATGAAGAGTATTTCGAGATCAATGATTTGAAGAGGGGTCATTTTGAATAGAAATTATCCAAACTGAAGAACTAGAAAAAATAATTTGAAAAACACTAAATAGAGCCCAAATGACATATGAGATAGTATCAAGCAGTCTGACTTATAATCGGAGTCCCAGAAGGAGACGAAAGAGAAAATGGGACAGAAAAAATATTTGCAAAAACATCGGCCAAAATTTCCAAATTTGATTAAAAACATCAACCCTAGATAAAGATAAGCAAGTGAAATAAATACAAACAAAACCAGACCTGAGCACCTCATCATCACCTTGTTAAAAATTAATGATAAAGAGAAAAATCATAAGACAGCCAGGAAAAAAAAAAAAGACACATTAATACAGCTGACTTCTCACCAGAAAAATTGGAGGTCAAAAGAAAGTGGAATGATTTTGTTAAAGTGCTGAAAGAAAAATATAAATTCTAAAAGTCTATGCCCCATGAAAAAATTTTCAAAAATGAAGGGAAAATAGGGGCCGGCCCAGTGGCATAGCAGTTAAGTGCGCATGCTCCGCTCCGCTTTGGTGGCACGCGGTTCACAGGTTCGGATCCCGGATGCACACCGATGCACCACTTATCAAGCCCTCCGGTGGTGGCATCTCATATAAAGTAGAGGAAGATGGGCATGGATGTTAGCCCAGGGCCAATCTTCCTCAGAAAAAAAAGAGAAAGATCGGCAGCAGATGTTAGCTCGGGGCTAATCTTCCTCACAAAAATAAGAAGGGAAAATAAAAACATTTTCAGATTTAAAAAGCTGAATTTTTCCAGCAGTACAAGAGTACAGGAAATACTTACTAAAGGAAGTGTACTCAACCGAAGAGTAATAATATTAGATGGAAATCTGTATCTATAGGAAGGAATAAGAACATGATTTTCAAATATGTGGGCATATATGAAAGACTATATTTTCTCTTAAATTTTCTAAATTACAATTGACAATTTAAAGCAAAAATAATAACAACAAGGTATTGCGTGGTTTATAACATATATGACTGTAAAAAATGTGACAATTACAGCACAAAGAGATTGAATGAAATTATACTATTATATGGATCTTATATTATACTTGAAGTGGTGTATATTATTTGAAGCTAGACTGTGAAGTGAAAGATTTGTATTATAATCCATAAATAACCAAAAATATAAAGAGCTACAAAGCCACTACAGAAGATAGAACAAAATACTAAGTGCTCAATTAACTCAAAAGGGAGAAAAAGGAGGAACAACCAAGAACACAGAGGACAAAGAGTAAACAAACAACAACACGGTAGAATTAAATCAAACAATGTTAATGATTTTATTAAATATAAATGGAGTATACATTCCAAGTAAAAAGCCGAGATTGTCAGACTGCCTAAGAAGCAAGTCTCAATTATATGCTTTTTATGAGACACATTTTAAATATAAGGACACAACAGGTTGAAAGTAAAATGAAGGAAAAAGATATATTATGTGAATACTAAACATAAGAAAGTTTTCATAGTTGCTGAGAGAATAGATCTTGAAAGTTCTTATCACAAGAAAAAAAATTTTTAACGTGTGGTGACAATGTTAATGACTTATTGTGACAATCATTTCACAATATATACAAATATAGAATCATTATGTTGTACACCTGACACTAATATAATGTCATATGTCAATCATGCCTCAATTTAAAAAAAAGCTTGTGTGGTTATATTAATATCAGACCATGTAGACATCAAGACAAGAAGTATTGCTAGAAATAGAGAGGAGCATTTTATAATGATAAAAGAGTTTATTCCTCAAGACAAAAAATCCTAATAGCATCTAATAATACATCCGCAACATACTTGAAGCAAAAATAACAGAAGTAAATGGAGAAATGTTGGACCTTTTAACTCTTCTCTCTCGGTAATTCGTAGAACAAGTTAGATAAAAATGTGAGTAGGGATATAGAAGACTTTAACAATGTACCATTAACCACTTTCACTTAATTGTAGTATCTTATGTAATATACTACATCCAACAACTGCGTAATACACATTTTTTTCAATTTCATGTGGAACATTTACCAAAATAAACCATATGCCATAAAACAAGTGTCAATAAATTTTAAAGAATTGAAATCATACAGAGAGTTGTTAGAAATTAATGATACTATAGCTAGAAAATCCCCAAATACTTAGAAATTAACCAAGACTACTTCTAAATAATCTATAGGACAAAGAAGAAATCACAGGGAAATTAGAAAATCTATTAAACTGAATGACAATGAAAACACAAGATATCAGTATCTGTGTAAAGTAGATGACCGCTACTCACCGGTTCCTCACAACCCAACTGTAGAGGACACTGTGGTTGCTTCCCCCACATCTACCACTCTTCTCTTAGAAAACATTTGATTTTCCCTTTAACCTGTCCCACGCAGCCAAAGGTTTTGTGTGAAGCTGACCCCCATTAGACTCCAGGGATGGGGTACAGAGTTCAGAAAATATTAATCAGACTGTTCTCTGCTTTGGTCGGATTAGCAGTTCAGACAAGGGCATATGACTCAATTTGGGCCAACAAGTAACACAAAATTCAGATTAAAATGATGTAAACAAGGAAACTTGTTATATCTCACACAAAAGGTCTAGCCGTAAGTCAATTCCAGAATTGATTAATTCTGCAACTCAATGATATTGTCAAGGATCCAATTTTCTTTCAATTTTCAGTTCTGTCATCTTCATCGTGTTCTTGCCAGAAAAAAATGGCAAAGACCTTCCAAACCCTGACTCTTAGCCGCTTCTGTTGGAATCAGTGTCCACCGTGGTTCCACTTACCAAGAGTTGCACAGTCCAGATATGACTCTTGTGTGGTTTAAATCAATAGGGCCCAGAAGACTCATCTCTCAACTCTGCTAGGTTAGGATCTTCCCTGATTACTTACTTGGAACACTGTGGGGCATCTGCCTGAAATATACACCACATCAACTTGCTGCAATGCCTAGAT